GCCGAGGCGGGTTAGCGATCTACTGCAAGCGTCAGGAGTTCAAGACAGCCTGAGCTACAATGAGACCCCAACTCTACTAAAAATAGAAAGCAGTTAGCTGGACAACTAAAAAAAAAAGATACAGAAAAAAATTAACGCCGGCATGTTGCGCATGCCTGTAGTCCCAGCTACCTGGAGGCTGAGGCAGAAGATTGCTTGAGCCCAGGAGTTGAGGTTGCTGTGAGCTAGGCTGACATCACAGCACTCCAGCCCAGGCAACAGGAGCAGTATATTTTTAGTTGTCCAGCTAACTGCTTTCTATTTTTAGTAGAGTTGGGGTCTCATTGTAGCTCAGGCTGGTCTTGAACTCCTGACCTTGAGTGATCCTCCCGCCTCGGCCTTGCAGAGTGCTAGGATTACAGGCGTGAGCCACCACGCCGGCCTGACCACTGAGTATTCTTAATTAACTTGTCAATATATCGATACATTTAGTTTAGAAAAACATTTTACCCAGCATATTTAGTTGTTTTCAGCAGGAAGTTAGGTCAGAATACCTAGTCTGCCAGATTGCTGGAAACAAAAGTCCTCATCCATATCTCAATTACTCTTACATTTTTTTTGCCCATCTTTCTAGGCTGCATTCTGGATGAATTTCTTAGTACAGCCTTTCAAATCTCTAATTTTCTCTTCAACTGTGTTCAGTCTAGAGTTGATTAGATCTATTCAAGGTTGGGCTTTTCCCCCCCTTTATTAATGGATTTTTACATTTCTAAGATTTCTATATGATTCTTTTTATTTCTATATATTCATGTTTCATTTCTACCTCTCTGTCCTTTGGTTTTTATTTTTATATTTTTTTATCTATTATTGCTGTGTTTAGAACAGAGGGAATGTATCAGTGTGCACGACAAAACCATCTTCCTTTAAAGTCACTTTTGTATATAGAAAAAGATGGAGAGACTTTGAAGAAAGATAGCTTAATTTATCCCACCTTCCTATATCCCAAATTCTGTTAAGTTATAAGAGAAAAGAAACCTTGCCTGTGTTATTCACAGTTATAACTCCAATGCCTAGAACAGTGTCTGGCATACAGTAAGAACTCAATACATGTTTATATGACTCACTCCCTCATCACTTTCAGGTTTTTGCCTAATGACACCTTATGAGAGAGGGCTTCCCTAACCATCCTATTTAAATAGAAACCCCTACCCCCCGAGAACTTTCTCTACCATGGCCTATCTGCTTTGTAGCATCTATCACCATCTAACACTCTCTCACACACACTGTCTCTACACACAAACACACTTGTTTATTTGCTTACTGTCTGTTTTCCCTTGGTAGAATGTAAGCATCATTAGGATAGCAACTTTCGTTTTGGTTTACTTTTGTATACCCAGCACCTAGAACAGTGCTTATTTTATAATAGGGGACTCTCTAAATATCTGTAGATTAAATGTTAAAATAAATAAAATCTCAGGCACTCATCAGAGGCTGTAGATTCAAAGACCTGTTTATATAAAGATGTGTATATGCTTTATTTAAAGCTCTAAATGGGCTGGGTGTGGTGGCTCATGCTTGTAATCCTAGGACTCTGGGAGGTCCATGTGGGAGGATTGCTTGAGCTCAAGAGTTTGAGACCAGCCTGAGCAAGAGCAAGAGCAAGAGCAAGAGCAAGACCTCATCTCTACTAAAAACTGAAGAATTAGCCAGGTGCGGTGGCACATGCCTGTAGTTCAAACTACTTGGGAGGCTGAGGCACAAGAATCACTCAAGCCCAGGAATTTGAGGTTGCAGTGAGCTATGATGACGCCACAGCACTCTCCCCAGGGTGACAGAGCAAGACTCTGTCTCCAAAAAAATAAAAATAAAAAAATAAATAAATAAATCAGCACTAAATGTCCAATAGTAGGGAATGGTAAAGAAAATTATATTAGATGAAGTAAAAAGCAAGGAATCTGGGTTCACATCCTGACTCATCTAGATGTATGAGTTGGGATACATTACTTAGATGTATGAACTTACTAGATGTATGAACTTGGGAAAGTTAAATCTGAATCAGTTTCATTATCTGTGAAATAGGATAAAGCAACGCTTACCGTAACCCGGCCGATACACCAGCTCCTACATAGTTAACAATGGTCTACGTAGGAGCTGGTATACCAGCCCACGGCACTTTTCACCCTAAATGTAAAGCCGATATTTCGGCCCACCGCACTAAGAGGGTTAAAAAGTTGTTTTTAGGGTTTAAATGTAAAAGTGACTAGTAGAGTGATACATGGTATGTAGTTATAAAGGCTTATCTGAGAGGCTTTAAAAATTTTAAATGCAGAGACTATGAGGCAGCATGGAGAATTACTTAATAGTAAGTTAAAACATTAGAATACAAAATTATATCTATGCTAACATTATAGATATAAATAAAACTAACAAAGAAGCAATAAAAATTGTTAGGGAGGTAAGAAACAAGTGAAATATTTTTATTTCATCATTTGTTTACGTTGGAAGAGAAAAGGAGGCTGAATTGTCCAGCATCACTCTCCCATATGTTGTGTGCTTTGCAAGGCCAAGGACTTCATTAGGATTACATTTATATCTCCAGCAAATAGGACAGTACCTAGGCATTTATTAGTCAATACATTTTTGATGGATAAATTAAAAGGATATAAACTTTTCAGTGGTTCTTAACAGGTAGTGCCAAATAGCTTCTAATCCAAATTTAAATAGTGCCTAGACTCCACAGGCCTGTAATTACTAGAAGTACAAGAGCCACAAGGAGAACAGATGATCAAGCACTTACTTGCTGAGCTGGTAATCAGTGCCTTTGACGAACTTGAGCTTCTCCAAGGGCACACCAATGCTCTCCAGCATTGCCTTGATCACATTCTCATAGTAACTAGCTCGGAGTTCTAGAAGTTCCCATGGGGCTTTCATGTTATCCAGGTATGCATGAAGATCCGCAAATAGAATTGTTACCTGGACATAAGGATAAGGGACCACTAAAATGTGAATTTGTTCAAGTATCTCCAATCTACCTCCCCAAGCTCCCGCCCACTCTTACATCTCTCATCATTATGTCATCTCATTAGTTCTTACCTCACATCCTGCCTTCAAGAAATCTGCGATCTTCGACATGGGCACAAAGTAAGCCACATGTGGCTTGCCTGTGGTTGCCGTTCCCCAGTAAATTTTAAGTTCCCGCTCCTTCAGTATCTCCTTCAGCTTCTCTTCCCCCAGGACCTCCTGTTGTGGAAGCAGAAGAGTTGGTTTAATGCCAGTGTCCCACCTTGCTCATCCTTTACCCTGTGACAAGGAAAACAAAGGCATGTGTTACTGAGAGTCCAGGCTCAGAGCCAACAGGGAGGTCCAGCCATGCACTCAGTGTTGAGAGCCAATCTAAGTTGGTGCTGTTGCTCGTATCACTCCTGTAAAATGACACTGCTGTTAGGGGAGTGAGGGCATGTCCCTACCTGCATCTTCCCCTCCAGCTGCCTCTAACTCACTCTCCTTCTTTTCACACCCAACTTCTTGAAATAATTGCCTTTTCTTCTGGTCTCCTCCTCCTCTCCCATTCCAATTTGAACTTCATACTACATTATACTACTAAGTTCCATACAGCATCACAGATATTCTTGCTAAGATTACAGAGGTACTCCAAGTTGCTAAATTCAATGAATATATTTTAGTCCTCACTTTCTCCCTGTAACACTCTCCTCTTCTGGTCTCCCTTATTTTATTCTCTTAGTTTTCCTCTTTCTTCTCTGCTGGCTTACATTTCTTTGCAGCTGCTCCTCTTCTGCCTAATCATTCAATATTAGCAATCCTTGGGGCTCTAGTCTTTCTTCTCATTACTCTACATTCCCCCTAACTGATCCTCTTCAGTTGCTTCAATTACTACTTATGAGCTAGTAACTCCCAAGTCTCCTGCTCACACTCATAAACAGAACTGTGTGTACTTGTTAACAACCAAATAATTCAAACTCAACATGTTCAAAATTAAACTCATGCTCTTGTCTTCTTACCTCACTACCCAACCATCTTTTTCACTTGTAGTTTTATCCCTAGTTCAGTAAATGGCACTATCATTCACTCAGTTGCTCAAGGTACTCCGAAGAAACAGCCCTTAAATCCTCCTATTTCTCTCTGCCTCTACATCACCATCCTAATCCAGGCCCCATCAGATCACATCAGAATTACTGTAAGTCTCCTAACAGGTATCCCAAATCTACTCTTACTCCCTCCAATCCATGTTCCAAAAGGTGACCAGAGATCTTTAAAACTCAAAGACTTTTTAAAAACTCATTTACCTATTTAAAACCTTTAATGATTTCCTTTTCTTCTATGAAAATATTGGAAAAATTCTTTTTTTTTTGAGACAGAGTCTCAGTCTGTGGCCCAGGCTAGAGTGCCGTGGCGTCAGCCTAGCTCACAGCAACCTCAAACTCCTGGGCTCAAGCAATGCTTCTCCCTCAGCCTCCTGAGTAGCTGGGACTACAGGGATGCACCACCATGTCCGGCTAACTTTTTCTATGTATTTTTAGTTGGCCAATTAATTTCTACCTATTCTTTTGGTAGCGACAGGGTCTCGCTCTTGCTCAGGCTGGTATCTAACTCCTGACCTTAAGCGATCCTCGTGCCTCAGCCTCCCAGAGTGCTAGGATTACAGGTGTGAGCCACCCGTGAGCCACCGTGCCGAGCCTGGAAAAATTCTTAAGGCTGGTATGCCTCTGATTAAAGTTTTTAGTATTGCCTTACATTATTGTTTTGGGAGGCTCTTAGAAACCATGATAGATTGTTCTCCTGGTTTGAATCATTTATTAGCAGAACTTATTAAAATCTTGTACTACAAGTCTGTTGGCAGCTGATCCTGCATTCTCCAGAGCTCCTATTGGACACTTGGAGGGAAATTTCCACCCAAGGAAAGGTCACATTACTTAGTCTTTAAAACAAGTGAGTCAATTCCATTAGCTTTGTGTATCCTTTGTCCCCAACCAGTACTATTTTATTAAGAGAGGCTAGGAAACAAAGAATCTGGCTAAGAGGAGCATGCAAAAATCTCTGGTTAAGATCAACCTGAGTGGGCTAGACATGGTGGCTCATACCTGTAATCCTAGGACTCTGGGACCTTGAAGGCGGTTGGAGCGATCATCTCAAGAGGTCGGAGTTCAAACCAGCCTGAGCAAGAGTGAGACCCCCGTCTCCACTTAAATAGAAAGAAATTAATTGGCAACTGGAAAAAAATATATATATAATATATGTATAGATAATATATATATAGATATAGTAGCTGGGCATGGTGACAAGTGCCTATAGTCCCAGCTACTCGGGAGGCTGAGGCAGTAGGATCGCTTGAGGCTCCCACCGGCCACGCACTCTTATGAGGCCAGGCAACAGAGTGAGACTCTGACTCAAAAAAAAAAAAAAAAAATCAACCTGAGTGGAACAACCCAAAATGTCCATCAACTGATGGAATGGCATAAACAAAATGTGGTAAATTGATATAATGGAATATGATTCAACCATAAAAATGAATGAAGTTCTGATAGCCAACATGGATGAACCTTGAAAATGTTACAATGGCGGGGTGCAAATATCAGTGCAATAAGGGACTATTTTCCGCATTATATGAAATGTCCAGAATAGGCAAATACCTGGAGACATAAAGTAGACTAGACTGGTGTTTCTGTAGGGCTGGGGATAATGGGTAGTGACTACTAAGAGGTACAAGTTTTTGTGGGGGGATGAAAATGTTCTAGAATTTTAAAAAATAAACCAGGAGATGTGGGGCTCCCCTGCAATCCCAGCTACCTGGGAGGCTGAGGCAGGAGGACCCCTTGAGCCCAGGAGTTTGAAGTTGCAGTGAGCTATAATGACACGGCTGCACTCTAGGCCACTGTACTCTAGCCTGGGCAACAAAGTGAGATGCTGTATATATTAAAAAGTCATTTCTGGAATTAGACAGTGATGATAAGTGGACAACTTTGTGAATATACCAAAACCCACTGAACTGTATAATTTAAAAGGATGAATTTTATAGTATGTAAATTATATCTCAGCCGGCACGGTGGCTCACGCCTGTAATCCTAGCACTCTGGGAGGCAGAGGATATATGCTGTATAGACCTATGGCTGATTACGTGAGCCTGTGGGGCTTTGTATGTGTGTTTTTTACGAGTGATAATGTCAGAGTGTTTGATGGGAATAATTTTTTGAATAATTATATAATTGTTTTTGAGATGAGGATACGCACTTTTTATGCGCTCAGAGCCTGATCCTATTAGTGTCTGTACAGTAGCGCGCTCGCGGCTCATGCAGGTATTGTGTCTAAGCAAACTGCTCGTTGCTTCAGCATCGTGTAACGGGTCCATTCGGTCCTAGATGAGACTGTGTAGTCGTTACAGTGATGGTGTTCCACCAGATGCCGTCAAAATGGTTTTGTGAGTTTTTTACCTGCTGGAGAACTATAGAGGGTGTAGTGTTAGTTTGTTGCCAATTAATTTCTTCCGGTGACGGGGGTAGGTTTTTTTAATGTAGATGAGGCGTGGCAGGATCACCTTGCTTCAGCTGTTTCAGCTTCGACCTTGGACACTTCTCCTCCGTCTCTTGCCTGGAACCAGATGTGTGTGGTGATTTCACCAAGACAAGGCAAGCCCAGGCGGGGGCAAAGGGATGGGACACTTGTCCGGCCAGGACGCAGTCTTGAACGGCACTCGCAGCCATGAGGTGGGGCAGGGGGGCGCACTTGGGGTTTGAACCTGGGTGTCGTTTGTTTTTGCACCTCGAGTCGCTTGACGTTTATCCTGTCTTGGGATCAGGCTCGTGCCGAGCTCAGGAAGGGCTTAGGCGGGGCATCTCACGGGGTGGACGGGGCTTTGGCCCGGGGGTAGGGGGCTTATTTATGGATGGTGCTGCCTTGCTGCTTCGTTCCGCGCGGCTGCTGGGGTGAGGTTTTTCTTTCGCCCCTGGGTCATGCGGGGTGAGGGTTCCATTCCCAGGTCTGGACGAGCTTCTGCTGCAGTACGGTTCACGAGTCTGCCGCCCTCTGGGCACTCTGGCGGTGGAATCTTTCTTTCTTTTTTTTCTGTTTTTGCCGGGTGGTCTCTTCTGCCGTTTTTTTGGTCTTAACTGCCTGCATTGACTCTTTGACCTGGTTTTCGCAGCGTGGGTTTAAGTCTAACTGGGCCGGTGGATGCAGACAGGCCGGAGCCGGGGCGTTCGGGTCCGCGCACGTGTGGGGTGTTGGATCCACCGCCTCTTCTCGCTGTCCTGTCTTTGCGCGTGGCCCTGGGTCGGCCTCCGGTCCGATGGACCGTGTGTCTGCGGCGGGGGACATGCGCGCTATTCCTCGGTGGGCAGTGCGAGGTGTTACGGTGTTCTTGTCTCGGTGGGCAGAGGGGGGGCTGCACCTCGCTGCGGGGTGGACGGAACTCTGTCTTCCACTGGCGGCAGAGGAGTGTAATCACATCATGTGATGGTAGGAGGTATAAGCGAGCCTAAGCCAGCCTGTGCCCAGATGTCCTTAATGTAATTTTGTTACAGGTGACTCATCTGATCAATTTCTGCGTGCGCTTCTGATCTGTGAAAAGATGGAAGGGATGTGGCATCCACTTCAGTGTTTTTGGTTAGTAGTTGTCAGACAGGACGGAGATCTCGGTAGTACCTTTTAGGCCTTCAGCACCTGTCTTCGCATGAAATCGGAGGGAATGGTTCCTGCTGTTTTAGATAATATGAGCTCAGCATTTCTCTCACTTCTTTGCTTCTGAGCTGGAACGTGATGGATGTGTCTGTCAACAGGTGCAGGGAATTGCTCGCTTACATGTCCGATATGCGAGGCCGGCCAGCTCAGCTCACTGCGACTTCCTACCTACTGTCTCACTAGAGAGATATGTGTGCTGTCGCCCTGCCTCAGTTGTGTGTGTGTGTTTGTGTTTTGTGTGTGTTCCAATGTGTGTGTGTGTTGTCCAACTCCTTTTCTAAACAGTTGTGCTTACGAAATTTCTGAGTTGTATGTTGTGTGTTGTAGCTGGCATTTAGTTAGTTACTTAGCCCATTTGATCTCCCTGCTCCCTTACAAGAGGAAGTAGTGCGACCTCGCGTTTTCAGGTTTAGGTGTGCCTGCTTGTGGAAGTGTCGGCTAGTTATTGCCACGGTTGTTCTTCCATTCTGGACTTAGCTCATTGGTGAATAGATTCACCGGTGTGATAGTGAGGGTCAACATTGTATGTCTCCCATTTTGCAATGCGTGAGTGACCTCATTGTGTCGCACACGTATGTTACCATTTATTCATACGGGCGAGTTTTGCTCGTTGTGCCATGTGGGTGGGCCGTGACATCAGACACTTTCAACGTTCGCTTTTGGGTTTTTAGTGAGCGGCTTGGCCATCATTATTCCATTTATTTATTCGTGGTATAGGATCCATGAGCGGACATTGTCAGTATCTTCATCTACGTATGTATGATCAGTGTGATAAATTGTATAATCCAATACTTCAGTTTGATTGTTCTTTTTTCATGGTTGTATTCGTATTAGTTGGACGTTCTTAGTTCTTTCACTCTTTGTTGCCTTGTCCGTAATCGTTGTGGCTCCTGGTGCTCACAGCCTGAATAATGACAGTCACCTTTGGTCCACTACTGCTTACAGCAATCCCTCCAGCGCAGTGCTGTGACTAGTGTGTACTATCTTCTGTCAACCCCTGCCCGTGAGAGCACCTATCTTAGGGGGCCGGTCGAGCTCACTGGAGATGCACTATTGCTTACCCGTATTCTACTGCGTATACAGACAAGGCCTTCTTTCATATCTATATCTATATTTTATTTTTTTTTTTCGTCAATTAATTCTTTCTTATTTTTTTACAGGATCTGCAGCTGACAGCTGCGGGTTTGCCTGAGTGCCGCCACGCCTCCTGTGCTCCGTGACGGGTGAGTGGTCGTCACTTGCTCTATCGCTCGGTGCATGGTTTCTTCAGGGTCTTGTCCAAGACTCACCCACCTCGCTGGACTCTGAGTATCCTCCTGCCCTCTGCGGCCTAGGACACATACTGAGTCCGCGTTAGAGGTCATGCTACCAAGTCATGAGGCTCCACCAGATGTCTCACTATGCCTCGCTACTAAGGTTGATGAGTGCGGTATAACAAGAGATTTCTCTGGCATGCTCCTCTTAGCAGATTCCTTTAGTGGTTCGGTATCCTGCGTCTCGGTAGATAGACTGCATTGTGTAGTACTGGTTTGGGACAAAGGATACACAAAGCTAATGGAATTGGACTCACTTGTTTTAAAGGCTAAGGTAATGGTGACCTTTCCCGTTGTGAATTCCCTCCAAGTTCCAATAGACTCTGAAATGCAAATCAGCTGGCCACGACTTTTTGTACTAAATTTAATAAGTTCTGCTTAATAAATATTCAAACCAGAGAACAATCTATCATTGGTGCCGGTCTGATGAACGCTCTTGCCCAGAAGACATGCCATTAATTGTCAACAGGGTGGCTACCATTACTCAACCAAAACATCCGCTCGTCTAGCAATCAGAGCATACCAGCTTAAGAATTTTTTTCCCTGCTGGTTCGGCACGCTCGCTTGCGTACAGCACCTCGGTATTCCTGGGCGCTTTGCTTGAGTCATACTCGTTGTGATACTTCTTTTTCAAGGCTACCTTTGGCTTGCAAGCTGAGAGCGGTGACACTAGTTCCGAGGATTTACTCTTCAGAAAGCTGCGTTTCTTTTCATACCGGTTCGCTTTGGTCCCGGGTCTGATCCAGGTGTATCAGATTTATACTTAGCCCTTAGTGCGTCATAGAGTGGATGTGGTGGCTACGACCTTGGTATTCATCTTAGCACCTCATGGAAAGGATAGTTAGAAAGCTGATTGCGGAGGGGGTTCGCTTCATTGAGTCGGAGTATCAAAACGCTGTTACGATGAGAGAAGACCCAGGTTTCTAGTACCGTATCTGATATTGGCAGTTGTTTATGCTTGCGGGTGGTGGCCATGGCCTGTAGTCAGTAGGGAGCTGAGGGGTCCGTTGGGGAGTTTGGGTTGTGTGGTAGGCTGACCACGGCATTACCTGCTGATGTTTGGCAGTCGGATCATACCGTCTCAAAATGTAATCTCGTCTGGCGCGGGCCGCCGCGGGATTGTCCAGTGTAGTCTCCGGACGTTTCCAGACGGTGTGAGAGAGACACGTCATGTTGGCCTTAGCCAGAGTATTAGGAAATTTGACAGGTGTATAGGCTAGTCTGACGCGCACGCCTCTAGCCTGCACAGACTGAGACTCTGTCTCAAAAAGAAATAATACAAAAAAAAAAGAATTGTTTCCAATATTTTATAAATGAAAAGATCAAAGTTTTTAAATTTATTAAATGATTTTTATTCTCTCTTATATGTGG